ACAAATAAATATTTAGCAGATAAAACACATGTTTTAATACTTGAAAACAAAATTACAAACATAAAGAATGAGCAAATAAAATCTTGGTTGGTGCAAACTATACAAACATTAATGTTTGTATACTTTTTGTGGTGTTTTTTGTGCGTTTTATGTGACTCAGTCGAGATTTTTTAGGTTCATTTAGTGTCAACCGGTCTATTTTGTCGTGTTTCGTGTATTTTACGTTCATCGAGTGGTTTTGTGTTTTGCCGTACTTTCTCGTTTACCTTGGTGTTTTCAGGTCCATTATGTAAGTTTGGGAATATGAGCTGTCGGAGCTGTCCAAACCATTGCTGGGTAAATGGGAGGATAGAAGTATACCCACGTAAAATAATCGTAACAAAAAAAATAAAAAAAAAAATCACGATAAATATTCGTGATAAAAAAATACACAAGTTATCAAAATAAATGAGTAAAATACTATAGTATGAAAGTGATATGAGATATAAAGTCATATATATTAATCATACAGAGAAACACAAGTATGAAGAGAGTAATGTAAGTCCAAAAAAATATCACTAATTTTATGAGATTTCTGCTTTTGTAATTTTGTTAAAAGTCTCTATTATTATAATTAAAAACTTTTATAAAGTTTTTAGGTTGAATATCGAGTGACTCTCAGAAAATTTTAATTGAATACCTTGAGACTTTTAGATATCTATAAAAAATCTTTAAAAGTCTCAATTGAAGGTAAGTGGGATTTTTAAAAGTTTCAAAAGTTTTAATTAAATACACTAGAATTCTAAAAGTCTTAAAAAATCTTGAAAAGTTTTAATTAAATACACCCTTAAGTCTTATATAAAAATATTTACCAAACTTTTATGTCATGAAATAAATCTTGATTAGTTAATTAAGTCATACATGCAAATCTATATATAAAAAAAAAACTGACAAGCTTCAATAAATTTTATTCAACCAACAATTAATAAAATTGGAGTTCATTTCATAAAAATAGGTGACATTTAATAAAAATATGTTCTAGATTTAACTAAAAGTATTTAACTTTCAACTACACGATTTATTTCGACATGTCCCACTTTGGATGGTTCCCATTTTTGTAACGCCTTTTGATGTCCTAAAGTATAAAATATTTTTCTTTTTATTAAATACTATATATAATTTGTTATTATATAAATACATATTTCACAACTAATTAATAATAACTACAAATATCTCTATTTTCTATTGCAGTCATATAATAATAAAAAAATATTTTTCGAATATTACAAAAAAATATAAAATATTTTGAAAAATTAAATCCCATGAAATAAACCCTTCATTGCTTTTGCAAAATGATCCTGCAATATATTTAAAAAATTTAATATTATAATACTGTATGTTTAAATTTAATATCATTATCTAACTTATAATTTTGATATTATATACATATAAATAGTTTATAATATTTTATTTATATTTTTGAAAATGCGCGAATAGTAGTATATATCAATATTGCCTTAAACTTATAGCTATCAAGGTCCGTGTGAAAAGGTGAACGAATTTATGGAAAAATAAGTGTATCATACATGTACTATTAGTCAATGCTTCACTAAATTGTAGTCAAATATACTTGTAAACTAGTTGGTAAATAATTCAATTTAATCATTGATGTAAAATCCACACGAGTGAGAACTTTAAAGTCGTGGCCATTTACAAATTACAATCATTTGTATATGATGAAGCCTTCAAGTAAATCATATATATAATTAATTATTTCGAGGATTTAGAGTTTAATAACCATCAAATATGCAATTATCCCTCGTATCTATACTTATATAAAAAGTCATCCCATTTACTAGAATTAGTAGAAAGAAAAGTCAACTCATAATTAATTGCACACCATATTTAAAAAGTTTTAGATATTTTAAATCATAAAATAGGGTAACATTAAATGCCCCTAAAATTATGGGTTTTGTTGAATTCATTTTTTAAAATTTCGACAGATATTGAATTGAATATGAAATTCAAAATCTCTTCTCATTTTATTTTTAATAAAAGTTGTATCCAAATTTACGTTTGGTTTTGAAGTGAAAATTTGAAATTCAAAATCTCTTCTCATTTTAGTTACAAGAAAATCGGGCTGCATTCAACACTTGCACCAATTTAAAAATTATTTCTTAAATGAAGGAATTTATAGATAATTGTTATTTCTACTCAATCACATGATTATTTTCAATATAAAAAGAGACAAATTACAAATTAATGAATCATAAATTACTTAATTCAATATCTTAACATTAAGGAATAAATCCATAGTATTATGTAAATTCGTATCTCATATTATTATATCATTAAGAATATATTATATTTATATTATCAAATCATAAAAAGATATTAAATTCATATTGTAAAAAAAATAATTCATATAATTTTATAACTATTCTACTACACTATTTAACAGTATCTATTTTTATTATATAATAAAATAATAATTAAATATCATATAGTGAACAACAATAAGTAAAATTGTTTCTTTCTCTTATATCAATGGATAAATTTATATGCTAAAATTAAATTTTTATTATTATAAATGTTTTAATGAGATGATATATTAATTATTTTACAAGCTAACCCTAACATGTTCATATTTAATGTTCTGGCGCAAAAAACAACGCTGGTTAAAAGATGTGGAAAAAAACTTATAATAACCTATTGTTTTTTAGACTTAACATTGAAAGAGGTAGAAAATAGATAATAATCCTATTATTTTTTAGACTTAAACAGACAAGTGTGTGAAAATAACTCATTTAATATCTCTGTCTCGTGCATCACACGGGTACATAGTAGTAAAAATCTACATAGGGAAAACTATGAGCATTAGTCAGGCTAGACATTTTACCTTTACCTCAGTGTACATTCATGTAATTAATTATTTCGGAGATTTAGAGTTTAATAACCATAAAGATGCAATTACCCCTTGTATAAAAATCCACATAGGGAAAACTGAGCATTAACCAGGCTAGATTTTTTACCTTTACATCAATGTACATTCATGTAAGTATATGAGCGAGTGTCTGGTAGTAAAATTTGATAAAACCTTTGTAGGCAGTGACTACACGATAGGATCAATTTTTCCATTAAAGAGCAGTTTTATTTAATTTTTGCTCGATTTAATTAATTAAGACGGACCACATAGCATTGTACCACAACAGTTAAAAAGTTT